GGGGAGTGCGTGACAGAAGTATGCGAAGCGGAACGGAATTGGCGCGTTGTTGTGTTGCTGTTTCTATTTTCTTCATTAAATGAAGAAATTTTCTGGTCGTCAAGGTGTTTTTCTTCGTTCGATTCATCTAATGAACTTGGATCTATATTTGCCAGCCATTCTGACTCTTCGTTGTCGGAAATATGATTCCAATTGTCCGCCAGTTTTTTTTTTTTCGCAATTACAATTCAATTCTTCGCTTGTGCGATGCGAGAAAACTTGTTTAACCGGTACTCTACAATAGACGAGTACAAATACCGCGTGATATTTGTATTCGTCTATGGCGTTATTTGTACTCGTCTAGGTGTAGTTGGATAATAAATGTAAATAAAATAGATAAACTTTAATAGCTGACACAATTACCGGTAGCCCAGTAGTTTACATTGCGGGCTATAAACAAATAATTCAAATTCAACATAACATTGTTAAGAATCCCAACTGGCCGGAGGCAAACCAGTTGGCTATTTACAAGCATGGCCGAGGATCTGAACTCGGAGTTACCGTGAAACAAATTCAGGTAGTGGTCAGGACGGGACTTGAACCCGAGGGTGACGGATTGCGAGTCCGACACGCTAACCACTCGGCCACGCTGCCTCCCCTGGCTGTGTCACGCTGTCTACCCTGGCTGTGTCACGCTGTCTCCCCTGGCTCCCCATATGGCTGTGTCTAGAAAGCAACGGAACATTATATTCTTTGTACCTTTTTTTTTCTAGACCGGTCTAGATGCCGGTCTAGATGGGAAAATCTAGACCGCTTTCAAAATTGATTTCAGCCAATCAAATTCCATCTTCTAATATTTCCTTATCTTTGGTTTTGTTTTCCGCAATGAAAGCAGCATCGATTCCCAATGATCAAAGGTATTTATTATTTAAAGGTATTTAACTTGGTCTTCAACAATCGACAAATGAGGTGAAATGGCAATGACCAAGGGAGTAAGAGAGAATCCGTGGCCTTTCGAGCTCAAGAATCTGAACACTCTAGGCAGTAGTTGAAAGATTAAACTCTTTCCAAACCCCTTCGGTAACTGCTTGAAAACATCTCTCCTTCCCACGATGTTCTCGATAATTAGTTTTTGTTCAGATTTCAATTAGCTAACCTGAAATACAGCTAAGCTTTCTGTAAGCGCTTACTGGAGGTCATCCACGAACTTGACGTTCTCTGCAACTTTGGCCATATTGTGAAAGACTTTACCACAAAGCAAAGATTAGATTTTGGCGCGCACAGAAAGCTACGTAAGTATTAGCGCCAGTTGCTCGACATACCTGCGTGGCTCGTGCGACGAGATAACTTCACGAGATTGGCAAAGTTTCAGTCACAGTAAATTGTACAAAAAAGCTAGAAAGATTTAAGCTTACATCTCATTTAATGTTTAAAGCGACCTATCAACGCCTACAACCATCGTGTTTTATACGAACCTCGCAAACTTTTATACACGTTCTCTTGTGATACCTGCGAAAGTATTCAGTATAATTTTCGGTGAGATTTTTTCGGACAATCTGGTCGATTTTCTCTTACACTGTGTGCTGAGACTGACACTTTTCACCTCGAGCAAGGCTCCGTCGCACGGCCCGAACAACCAAAGCGAGCAACTGAGCTTGTTGTATATGTGCGTATTAAAACACACGAAAGAAATGTAAAGCACACTTCACTATGATTGGGCAGAAAAAAACAAAGATTTTCTGGCACCAATCAGATGCCAGAACGACTGCGACCGTTTGGAACTAGTCTCTCTTTTAAAAGACAATGTCCCCAGGAGCTCTTCTGCCCCTTGAAATCGACTCACAGCCCCTAAGTCTCCGAGGATAATCAAATTCGCGAATTCGGTAGTTCCCAGTCCTTGTGAGACAGAGCCATATAATAATTACGTGATATAAAATAGTAATCACAAACATGGCGTCTTCTCCGGTGAACCCAAGTTCGCCAACTGGCACGCTAAAAAGGGACGCCTCAAAGAAAGACTCTGGCAAACTTGGCTGGGTTGGAACACTTACTAGAAGAAAAAAAGGCCAAGAAGGTAGGATTCTGGGATTAAAGACAAAAACGTTCTGTTTGGAAATCTGAATTATTCAACGTGCGATCAAAGGATCTTGACTCTGACAGCTCAAATTTGAAGTTTATCATTTTCTTTTTTATGCTTCTTTGTGCCATCTGATTTACCTTACAAGACTTAACGAGGAATCTACAGTAATTTTCATCGGGCTTGTACCATCAAATTTCAATTATCACTTCTGAAACACATTGGCTGTCTTTGATCGGTGAATTATGCATTCGATTTTTGTAAATTCCATCGCGAATTCCAGCATTTTAACACACCCTTTCCTGTTACTAAGCACACTCTCGATCATAAAATTTTTCGATAGGCGAAGGTATTTTAGATGGTGAAGTATCTCGACGAATTTAAGTAGCACTCAAATGGTGTGTTCACAGTTCGATGGAATAACTTTCTGCAGGTGTACTCTCTCGTCAGGGAATCTCCTATGTTTATTTTAACGTCCAAACTTACACGCTTAAATAATTTGGCAGTGTTATCAAAATGTGGTAGTGTCGGTCTCGTCGAGAGATTTTTCTTTTTAGCGGTTTTTTTTTTTCATGAGCTCATGGAATCATGGTTTGGTTTTAGAATGGTGCAATGACAGCGACACCCATTATTTTTACTTTCGTCAAGAATTTCCCAGTAAACAATTCTTTTAATTTTTTTATGTTTCTTTAAATGTAAACAAATACGGTTTATTCTTACAGTTGATGAGCTTGAGACAGAGGGGAGGCATGCCATTGAATCTCCAACTACACCAATCACAGTAGCACCGGACACATTTGATCTAGGTTTGTTATGAAGAGAAAAGCTAAAATAGAACCTTTTTACTCTACTACATAATTAGGGTTCATTACTGTGACGATTGCTGTCACACATTTCATGAAACGGCAGTACACATGTATGATTTTCATATATTATTCAAATTATTGTTATCACTTCGACGGGTTTAATATGAACCAACATAATTACCAGCTCCTAGTTGGCTTGTTAGCTCAGTTGGTAAAGCATTGCACTGGTATCGCAGAGGTCATGGGTTCAAATTCTGTAGAGGCCTGAATTTTTTTTCGGGCCTTATTTCCTCTTCTACATAAGAGGGGTTCATTACTGCATGGATTACTTTCATACATGGATCTTTATATGTTTGTAGCTTAATGTTTAACCCTCTAACTCCCATGAGTGATCAAGACAGAATTTCTCCTTACAACATCAATACAATATCCAGCAGACAAGTGATGAGAATAAAGAAAAATATCAATCAGGGGATTATTGGTTCATACATACATACATAGGTTTATTGACCACTCTTCATAAGGCTTTTCAGGGTCAACACCCACCGTTCCCTCCCCAGGGAAGGACATCTACCACACAGTAGTCTCGTGCGTGGGAAATTAACGTCTCCTACCACTAACCCTGCAGCAAATGGGGCCTACGGTTTATTCATCCTTATCTGAGAAGACTAGAATATCTATTGATTTCTTGTCATAGAAAGGTAGCAAATTCTCCTCAGTTATTTTAAGACCATGAGTATTGGTTCGACCGGGGCTCGATCCCTCCACCTCCCGCACAACATTATATGAGTCCTATGGCAGACTGAAAGGAGAATTGCCTTTGAGGCCATGGCATTTATTAGTCCACCCAGTCATTTCAACTTCTTAACTCCCAGAAACGATTAACATATAACTTCTCCCCATCATATCCATACATTATTCAGCAAATAGGTAATGAGAATACTCAAACTTATCAGGTACAACCTGTTATCTTGATCTAAAACTGAATTCTTGTTACTAATTCACAAGGAAATGTGTAGTAGCCAGAGGAGAGAATTAACAATCTGATCTTGGGAGATGCAAGGTTAACACTCAAATATGATCACTTGCTCCTTACATGTGTTGTTAAAATTTTTCTTAACCTTAATCTATGTGATTTCTTTTTTTTTTTTCTTTCAAATTTTGTACTCAACAGATGAAAATGAACAACGATCAATGGTGGAACCTGCTTCGCTTGAAAGTATAAAACTTAAGGAACTGAAAGAGGTGACTGAAAACAATGATGCACTTATTATTTGTAAAATGATTAAATGTGATGAGAACGCTGGCTATTGTGACAAGTAAAGTCACTTAACAGCTCGACACTAACGGTAGCCCACTTGCCACAGACTAGTAAAGATTCAGTTTTGGCTTGTGGTTTTCAATTTCCACTAGCCAGTTTGGCAAGGAAACAAACTGAAATTGTCGTAACATCTAAAAACATCTAAGATGTCACTAGCCACTAGGCTAGTAAGTTGAAAAGTTAGTGTCGAGCCCTGCTTAAGATGATCAGCAATAATGCAAGATTAAAATGTACTTGCATTTTTTTTAATTCTAGTAATTAGTCTTCATTACCAATTGACCTCAGGAGAGTGATGTGTTATTTAGATAGAACTTTATTTCACTGCTTTTTCAATTTTATCACACAATCTTCAGAACCTTAGGGGTGACTCACGACTAATTTCTTCTTACAATATCACCCTGAATACAAAATTAAGGTCACAAGAATAAAGGAAATGATCACCAACTAAAGAAGCTCTTGATTGTTAAACAAATTCTCCTTGTCAGCACCTTAGGAAATGTTTAGAGAACAGTATGGAGAATATGCATACTGATGCAAGTGTATAAAGGGTTAACTTAAGAGGTCACATAAGAATTTGTCCCATGCAGCCCTTAACATGTACACACTCTTTATTTATTTGGTAGGTATTGCTTGACTGGATTAATGACGAACTTTCAGAACACCGAATTGTCCTCAGGGACATTACAGAGGACTTGTATGATGGTCAAATTCTTGCAGTTCTTATGGGTATGTCATCAGCACAGATTGTACTCATGTTTGCACCTGTATATTTGGATTTATGTACTTGGTGTGCATTGTCGGTCCATTTGATGCTGGATACTTGTACCTTGTACAAAGAATCGTTTTAAGAATATATCATCTTCCTGTGTTGCCATTATTAGATCTTCACAGGAAGCTTTTAAATTGTGGCTAAAGTGGGTGATACACTTAGCAATTTTATTTGTCAATAGTGGCAAATAACAATAACAATGACAATGATAACAATAACAATAACATTTATTATTTGTATTGCACCTTTTCTATAAAATATTCAAAAGCGCAAATATGATAACAAATATGATTGCCAGCAAAAAATCTCTGATATCTGACATGCTAAGGAGTGAAAATTAATCATAATTAATTATAATTAATGAACATTATAATTAATGTTCCAGGCACACCTGCTGAATTTTTGGCTGAGTGTGTCACTGGCTTTAGAAATGAATTGGATTGCTCGGGGATTTCTGTGTATCCAAGGCAGAGGGCATTACAGTTTCAAAAATGTTTTGAATGTGAAAATGTTTCTAATTTACTACAGCTTCCTTGCAAATATTCCTGGTTGTTTTAATTTCTAACTTAAGTTGATTCCTTGTCTTGGGTATTTTGGTGCATGTACATGTGGTGTGACAAAAGTGCTCAAATTGCATAATTCCATCCCTCCATCTTTGGGTAATTAATGGTAAATGTGTGGCTCCATCTTTGTGAATATACCAGGTCCCACCAATGACATGGCTCTATTGTTTTGCAACCCACAATTCCTGGACTTGTTCTGACAAGGGCTAATGCTCCAAACGTCAGCTATAGAATCTCTTCATGGTGGCCAATTCACATTTATCAACAGAAACAATTAAGTTAATTAATTAAGTTAATTTGGTTCATAAAACCAAATTAACTCATAATGCTCCCCAATGATGCAGCGCCGCAGTTTGTTTAGAAACTTAATCCCCTTTATTTATGTGCAGTTGCTGTCTGTTTTGCCAAAACAGAAAGGAATAGAAGAGGGTTCAAAGAATTTTCCTTTTTTTTTTGTGCAAAGAGTCAGTGTATTACAAGAATCTGAGTTCCATGGAATCATGTTTCGTGCTGAGGGTAATTTTCCCTTCTCCCTCTCCTTTATACATTAAGCCCTGGTCGTTCAAAGGATGGATAACACTATCCATTGGATAAACTCGATTTGGTGGACAGTGCAGTTTGTACTGCTATCACATATTCGCTGGATAGCAATATTATTTATCAGTTGGATAGTGTTATCCTTCCTGGGCCCAGACTGGCAGGCTACTTTCCTTGTCGGATATAAGATTTCTGTGTAGTCAGTTTTTATCATCACTCCAGTTCTATAATTTAGTCATTTTATGATGTTGGCATTTTTTCTTTTTTTATTTTTCTAGATAAACTTGCTGGGATTAAGCTCTCTGAATTTGAAGAGGTCACTCAGTCAGTGGAAAGCCAGGTAAGTAAATTCATTGATAATGGTACACAGCAGTTTGGCCATAACAATGTATGGCTTAACTCTTTTACACCCTAATTTCAGGATCATATGGTTCTGTACAGGGTTCCTGCGCTCCTTGAAAGTCCTTGAATTTAATTTTTTATGGTTTCAAGGGTTGAAAACCCTTGAATTTGGACTCAGATCCTTTAGAATTTCTGAAAAGTCCCTGAAAATATGTGCAGATGAATCAAAGTCAAAGTTTTCTTTTGTTTTCAGTGTTCAAAGTGTAAGTTGCTAGCACAAATCACTGAAACGAGTTTTCCTTTTAATTCCTGGTGCTGACAAGGAGATTTTATGTAACTTAGTTGGTGATCATTTCCTTTATTCTCCTGACCTTAAAGAGAAATTCTTTGGCAATTTTTTAGGAAGGAATTAGATGCTGGTCACTGTTAGGGAGTCAAAGGAAAGGATTAAGGAAAGGAAAAAGAAAACTCTGTTCCCTTCCCTGGATTTAG